GCAGCATATTCTGAAATTCTTGCAGCATATTCTGAAATTCCCGAACTCCCTGTTTTGGACCAAAGCTGATAGCAGTGATTGATTGTGTGGGTTGATTTTAACACATCCACAGGGTCATCCAGTGATCAGATAAGTTTGGCTCATCTGCCTCTGTACCTGAGGGAGGGAAGCAGGTACATGGGGTAATTTTTCAAATCTGTTAGGAGCCGTTGGCTTGAGACCTGTGAGCGGTGAGGATGAACAGCCTGATCTACAGCGCGTGTGAAGCAGCGACCTGCTGAGGTGTGGGGACCAGCATGCACCTTTGCTGCCCTGAGGCAGTGCTGGCAGCAAAGCTGTTCCCAAAGCTGGCACTGACCCGTGCTTCTCTGCAGCTTCCTGGAGTTTCTCATGGCAGCAGCTGCATCCAGGGCATGTGTGTGCTGCCTGTCCCCAAGAGCGTGCAGGCAGGCGCAGTTGTGCTGCTCCTCAGGATGGTGTGAGGTCCTATTTCTGGCTTCAGAAGCAGCTGGAAGCAGGAATTTTAATGTCTTCCAGCTGACATTTGATATGGAAGAAGTAATCTTTGCTTTCCTTACCTGTTTCTCTCAGAAATTGTCTGTGCCCTTGTGGGGCACACCACGTATTGCCCCGCTCACAGCATTGCCTCTTGTGCTCTTTTGGGTTTGAGAGGGGCTTGCAAAGGGCATTTTGCTGCAGGCTGGTGAGCGTGGGTGTCAGCAGAAGGGATCGAAGCAGCACGTGTGTCAGGTGTGAGGCAGATTGTGCCATCCAATCTCCTGGCTGTCGTCTGCAGCATTTGTCAAGGCCTGCACTGCCCTGCTCCGTTTCATCAGAGCTATCGGTGGCATTCATCTAGGCTGGCAGCATTTCAACAGCTGTTAATCCTCTTTGTGTCTCTAAACACTGTGACCACTGACAAGCTCCTATACTCTGAGGTGTCAAAATATCTCAAGATGTCTCTGGTGGTGGTGGTTGAGTTTGTTGGTTTTAAATCAAGACACCTTCTAATTCTATTGATCCAAACTGAAACTGATGGAGAAATCTTTGTCCCAGTGTCAGGTTTTTAATGCTGCTGCTTCAAAAACAATTTCACCTGAAATCTGATTAATTTTGATTTCCTCATGCTTGTTTTGCTCAGTTTTCTGTTTTACATGTTACTGCAAGTAGCACATGTTTCACTGAAGTTGTAAGGAATGTGGTTTAATGTCAGTGTGTGAATGAGTTGGCAGGGTTTTCTCTTTATGTTTCAATTAGTTTCCCTCCTGAAATAACCCTGAGAACTCAGTCTTCTGCTATTATGTTTTCTTACTTTCTTTGCTATATGCTCTGGAAAGGGCCTGGGCAGTGTAGTGAGGTGTAGTAGTGAATGTTGGAGTTTCTCTGCATATTTGCAGCCAAGAAGGAAGGCTGAATTAAAATTACTCCAAATTTAGCTCTAAGTTTTAAAATTGATTCCCTTTGGAAGGGAATTTTTAGCACAAGGGTGTTTTGGTAGAGTGGAGAGCAAGGGTATAGCAGCAAATGTGTTGTAGAAAAACAGCAGGGTAAAGGAAAGTGGTTCTGTTGCACTTTAGGCTCTGGTTATGTATTTTTACGACTTCTTGGTGTTTTTATTATTTGCTACGAACCATCATTTAATAGCAGGGAAAAATCTTTCAAACTAACATTTCTTTGCTTAGTTTGTTTGTCATCTCTGGAGAGCTCTCTCCCCATATGACAAAGCTCTGATGTTCTGAAGTTGACTCCCCTAAGGCTCAGCTTTATTGAGAGAAGTGAAACATTTTAGGTGGTTCATTCATTCTTTCTGTGTCTTTTGTTATTTGAGCCCTTATGGTGTCCTTTGGTCATGTTTTTAAACTTATTTCTGCAACTAAGACTGCCAGGAGCTTTATTTAATAATAGTTGAGGTCTCATGTTCAACTTTTTCTTTGTGAGCTGCCATTTTATCTCAAGCATCAAATAATGTGAAAGTAAATTAAAAGCAGCGTTCATGTCTTGTAATTTTGTCTGGAATGTTCTCTCTTTTACTGTACCACTGAATATCGTTTTATGAAGATAAAGGACTTCCCTAAGACTACAGGCAGCTCAGACTTTGTTTCAAGTGCAAATACCACACCTTGATCCTGCTGAATAGCCCTTGTGTGGAGGTGACCCTGCTGAAGTTGGGGGAAGTGCTCGGGTGGTTTCTGGCTTAGCTCCTTGTTTGCAGCTATGTTATAAAGCCCTCGAAAGTTCTAGGGCACTGGAGTTCTCTCCTGCCATAGCATAGTGGGTAAACTGCTGAAAATGAAGCAGATCTTGTGTCTGAAGTAGTACAGATGAGAATACTTGGAAAATTATTCTCTATTAGTAGAAGCCCCAGACCACAGAACCTGCTGTGTCTGTGCCCATGCTGAAAGGCCCTTCTCTTGCCCATTAAGCCCATTTGTTGCTCATTTAATGTTTAGGACAAAAGAGAATGTGACTTTCCCAAGGTTGGAAGGGGTCTAAGGGCCAAGGAAAATGTATTTTAAAAATCTGCTTGTTGAACAAACTCAGATTTAAATGGCAGCCCCCTGTTTTTTATTACTTGGGGAAGCATTTAAAGGTACTGATTCATAGCATTATGAATATTGTTTTATTGGATTTTAGAGTTTTTGGAGGAGAGAGGTCTGGACCAACAGCAAGAGGCCCAGTTGGATCACAGGGAAAGATGTTTCAAACTTTTCATTTTTAAAACCCAGCAGCTTTATCTGCAGGTTGAAGGTGTTCTATGCCCCTCCTCAATCTTTGCATGATGCCTGATGGTTGCTTTGAAACCAAGCCTTTCCTCCTTCCCCTCACTGAGGTTCTTGCCTCTGTTCAGGCTCTCACTTGCCTGCTTTTAGCAGCTTCAGAATTCAGACCTAAAGCCTGGGTTCCTTTCCCAGCTATTTTTGTCCGTGTCTGTAGCTGATGTTGTTGGGGGTGAGCCTGACCGAAGTGCTGGGCAGTTGAACTCTAATAAAGTAGGTAAGGTTGTGCCACAAGCACTTTAATCGACAGCACATCCAGCAAATGATTCTGTTGGCCATTGTCACTTTCTTGAGGTGGGTTAAACGTGACCTCGTGCTGGGGCTCACGTACAACATATTTGTTCCTGTTTTCCTCTCCTGCTGCTGTTTCACTGCAGAGTGCTGCAGGCTAATAGTGTCTGATGGGACTACTTCCTATTGCCTGAAAAATGTTTAAATTTGTTACCTTGCTTTCTCTTTTTCCCACTTTCTCTCATTCTGATGTCTCAGATCCAGTCCCTTTGAGAAATCAGACAGTATGAAATATGAAAATTGCTTGGGTAGTAATTGGAGAAATGGTGAGACCTTTGAAGCCCAATGGAGATAACGCTTGCATCTACTTATTCACATTATTTAATTTTTAATGGCAAATTTAATTAATGAAGCACAGGTCTTGTGGTTTCATGTGTGAATAAGTAACAGCAGGGAGCTGTAAGTCATGAGGTCTGTTTACAGGCCAGAGAAAAAGGCACTATTAAAAGCTGAACTTTTCAATATAGGAAGGAGAAAAATGGATTTAATAGCATTGAAGTTTGACCACTCTCTAATAAGTAAGTAAACAAAAACATTAGTGATAATTTGCCGGTAAAATGCATTTTGAAGTGGTTAGTCCTTCATGATTCCTCAGTTTAAATCTGTCTCCTAGGTCAAAGTTTGAAAAGCAAAATCTGTTCTGTGTTTCTTTTGGTATGTAACATAAATTCAGGCACTAAAGATAAAAAGCTTAAATATAGCACCTTGAAGCCCAGGTTCTGAAAACCTTTATAAACCTTTCAATTAACTGAGCTTCACACAACTTCAGAGATACAGGCAGCTGTTATCCCTCACTTGCAGATGGAAAATGGTGACTTGCCCAAGATTGCACAAGTGGCAGAACCACTAATAGAACTTGAGTTATATCTGTCCTTTCCTTTTTCCAACCACTGAACAGTATGTGTTGGCTCATCATGCGCAGGACCAGCTGCATTTATGAGAAAATAAATGAAGAAGGGCAAGAATAGTATTCTATATAAAATGACCAAATTTGGGGAGAGACGAGATAGGCAGCTCGAACTGGCCCTAAATGAATAGCTGTCCTCGCTTTCAATACCATTTTGTCACTTTTTTTGATTGATTATTGCATATTTTCTGCTTGTGCCTTTTCAGAGTAAGAGCCTTGCAGATGGGCTTTGAGCGAGGCGGTTGCCAGTGGAGCCCAGCGGCTCTGCCTAAAGCGGCTTTATCAGCGCTTTAGTGACACGAGACCTTGTAGAGCGCTCGCTGGGGGAGTGCAGCCCTTCCCTCCTGCTGGCTGTGCCTGGGAGGCTCCTCAGTGCAGCCCAGAGGAGGAATTTAGTGACTGAGCAGTTGTGAGCTAAAACTCTTTCTGTGCAAGTTCAGGAGAATTTAATGCAAACCTCTTAAGCCCTGCAGCAAGACACTCAAGAGCCTGTTTGGCAGCGCCTTAACTGAGACCTGATATGCCTCCCTATGTTGTTAGAAGGGAAACAGGCTGCATAATTTTCTTTTAAAGAATAAGTAACATAAGTAGAAGCACTGAAATGTAAAATGGATTTTCCAGTGCTAGCAGCCAATTTTGATACTTGCATGTCAGTAACTTACAAGATCCTTCACAGCAATTAATGAAAGAAGAGAACAAAACATTACCGAACTCAAAATAGCTCTGTGCTGGAAACACCTTGTTTTTGTGGTTACATGGAATAACCAAAGCTCATGGTTGGCTGGTAGCAACCTTTTCCCCCTTTTTCCTTTCACAAAAGTGAGCCTTGGAATGAAGGATGTGTTGTGGCCTTGATGCATTTTGTTGAAAATAAAATCGACTCTTAAGTATTTCTGGCATTCTTTGAACTGAATATTCTGTTTGTTGTTGGAAATTGTTATTAATTATAGAAGATGACTTTGTGACAAGATAAGATCTGAGATGCCTTTAATTTTTAGAACTGAGCATTCTATTCTTTGTTTCAGAATGCAGAGATCTACAAGATGACATCCGAGCAGTATCAGGAGGCAGCCACCAAGGCAGAGGAACGGATAAAGTGAGGAGCCAATTTTGTTCTTTTCAGCAGTTCCAGTTGCATTCCATAACATCTTGTGTGTAGCTTCTGGATGTCCCTGTAAACAGTGTGAAGTTACCTCGTGTCAGGTACTGAGGGGGCTGAGGAGGTGCGAGCTGGCATCTTCTCTTTCTGTGCTCAGCTTGCAGAGTTTGGTATAAAGTTGATAGATCTTGCAAGGAAGGACGAGGGAGAAGAGAGGGACTTGAAAAATTAATATTAAATAGGAATATTTACTAGGGTTTTCAAAATAGCAATGAACATGTTTAATCTGTACTAACTTTGACCCGTTGTACTTAACCTACACACTGCAGCATTGGGTGGTGCATGGGGGTAGGAAGAATGGCACCACTTCTAAAGTTTTCATTGTCCAGGAGAAAAAAAGACAAACAGTCTAAATCTCATCCCTGTTAGTTTCAAATTAGAGTTGTAATTTTCATGAATGCTTTCTTAGAATGGGTGCAATGATTTTTCAGGTCTTTTTTATTTGCCTTAGCACAGTAAGTGGACCTTTAATGTTGCCTTTTTACCGTGAGCATATATAGTGTTTAAATTATATTTGTATTTGCTAGTAGTGTTATATAACTTATTGTTCCACATGCACTAACAGCTGCCCAAGAAAAAATATTTTCTATAATTCTTAAATATTAATGAGACTAAAGCAATTACGCTGTCAAGAGCAGCACTTGAATCTCAGTTGGGTAAACAGTTGGCCAATATGTAATAAACTGGAGTAGCAGCATATGTAGTCCGGTTGGGTCCAATCCAGACTCTACAATACTTAATTGCATAAATAGATAATATAGTAGTGATGAATATATTAGTGGGGTGTGCAGTATATTGTGCTGTCTTTATTTAAAATTATGTTTAACTGCCAAAACATCACATAACCTGTTGTAATTTCACATTTTTGTTTGGACAGTCAAGCAATAAGTTGCTAAAGAAGCCAAAACAAAGCAGCTAACACATTGCTTGCATTTCCATCCTGTTTTCCATAGCAGAATTTTAAATTCTCTTTTAAAATAAAATTTTAAAAATTCATAGGACATAACTTTCTTATTGTCTTTGATCAATGGAATCTTTTCTTGGATTTGTTCTGCAAATGTGTTATCAGTTGTGGACTTGTGTAGTGTTGATTTATCCTTGTGACTTGGTAATGGAAGTGACTGGGACCTGGGATTGTGTTCTTCACTTACTAGTACAGACTGTAACTACCTTATTTTTTATAGGTAGTCTGAAGGTTGGTTCCTGATGTTTCAGTTTCCTTTGGTCTGTTCTGTTTCTTGTGGAAACGGAGGCTGATAATGTAGGAAACTCAGGAATGCAACCATTTATTGCAAAGGTTAGTGGCAGAGACCAACACAAATGCTAATGAATTATTTCTTTCAAGATTCAGAGTGTGTGCTTGTGGTCTCTTAAGGGTTTCTTCCCCTTTTCTTTGAGCCTTTATCATCTAACAGTCCCTGGCTTCTGGCCTTATTGTACAGTGCTCTTGAATTTGATAGCAATATGAACTTGAGCCATTATAAAGGAACAGATTCCTTGGGCTGTCTTCTTTGCAGAAAAAAGAGACACCTGCCCTAATGAGAATTTTGTGTGAAAAAATAACATGGCTGGGGGTGTTTTGAAAAGGGACAAGATGAGTGGCACGAGTGAAACTGAGGGTGAAGTTGAATATCATGCATTCTAGTCCTTCATAGTAGAAATTGCCAGCAGTAAGCCAGGATTGCACTGAGCTGAGCTTTGGAGTTCATGATCTGGGACTGATAATGCCCTTTGATAATTGTACCTGCAGGAAGAATCATTGCTTTCCCCCATTAGCCTGCAGTGTGTCACTTCCATCAGCATGCAGTGACCCATTTCAGATTGTTGCTTTGCGTGCAACACATTGTACAAACACTCCTGAAGTGTTCTTGTGCCTCACACCTGGGTCATGATAGGCCGGGACAGGGTCAGGGGAGGGTTCCTTCCTACACTGGCATTCATGCTCAACTGGTAGGACTTGCAGTCTGTGTGTTGTGAGGTTCTCTTCTTAGGCATCCTACAGTCAAGTCTTTCTACAGTCTGTTTATTTTAATAACCTACAAAATCCTGTGACTTCACTGGAAAGAATAGTTTGCTTATACTGTTTTGCACTTTCATATTACAGATACAAGCACAGTTGGTGCTAAGATAGGTTAGACTGATTTCTGCAGATCTAGTTCTTTGGTTTGCAGGAAAAAACTGACACTCCTGCAAAATTATGTGAAATGGAATATTAGCCAAAGGATGAATGAAGTACAGGCCTGCCTGTTTCTGGTGCTGGATTATGATATCTCCTTAAGGAAAGGAAACCAGGAGTGGCGCTTTCTCCAGCTGCAGAGAGTCCCTTTCCTTCACCATAGTGTCTCTTCCTGAGCTTCAGTTATCCCTGTTACACTGTGAAGACCTGCCCTGGCACTTGTGCCTTGTGACACCAGTCTACCCTGTATTTGTACTCTGCCACTCTGTATCAGCAGAGCTGATGGAGGAAAAGGGAAATAGGGCTGGGGCTCTTTCCACAGTGAGCACCCTGTTTTTCAGAGTCCGTGTCGAAGCAAAGAGAAGAAATATCTGAAAAAACCCCCCAGTGTTGTCTTGGCGTTTAATGACTTTGGTAATTCTTTTATCAACACTTACACCTCTGCACAAATGGTCAAAGTCCAAGCATTCCATGGACTGTTTCCATTCCTTAGTGATTGTTAAGCATTGCAGGATTTAGGAATATTGTACACCTTTCCACCAGTGACCCTTCACAGCATGCCTGTGAGGTAGGCAAGTCAACCTTCCTATCTGCCTTTGTGTAAAAACAGAAGTGAAGTACTTAGTGCTGAGCTTCATATTAAATCACTGACACAGTCATTAGCTCTGGGTTTCCGCTACAAGGCTTGATGCCTGCATGGCCTGACTTGTGCAATGGACTTTGTTCCTCATCTCTTCACCTGAAGCCAGCCTGCTCTTGTCTCCACATACTTCCTATCTGAGTGTCTCCTTCTCCTTTGTTCTGGGCTCTGTACAACCTGTTTTATTTCCTCCCAGGAAAAAGATCCTAGGAACAAGATACCACTGAGCACAGCTTTCAGCACCTTCAGCAACTTGCCCTTGTTGCTTCCGTGCTATGGTGAATTGGACAGTTGCCATGGACATATTGTCTCAACTATGTTGTTATAATTGGTGCATTATTATTTTTCTCTTTTGTTAACCAACAGAATTAAAGTCAGGGGACCTAGAACTTCCCCTGCCTTCTTTCCCTGTTTAGCAAACTGCGCACATCAGTAACCACCCACAAAGGAAGCCGCGTGTAAATAAAAAGCCAGTGCTCCCCACCCTTCCCTTCATTCCACATCCTTTTCTCAGTGTTCATAGAGCCATGACTCAGACTGGGTTTAGAGAAGACAACTTGCTAATCCCCTCCCTGCTACAGAGAATAAAATGGCATTTCATTCCAAGCTGTATTAATGCACTCGCTCCAGGGATAAAGCAGCACTCCCAAAAGGCAGTGGCCAAATTTTCTTTCTGTTGCGTTGTCTTTGTCTTCTTTTGAGTGTTACATTTAGATTAGCTTCTGAGGATTAAATGTTATTACAGTCCCTGAATCTGTTAAGGGGAAGGAAAAAAACATCAGTAAAGAGGTTATGGCTTAGTGCAGCACTCTAGATTTATCCTCAATATGCTGGTTTGGGGTTGTTTTTTTTTTGTTTTGTTTGGGTTTTTTGTGATTTATTTTCTTTTTGAAGGTTGTCTTATCACTTTTTAAAAAAATTATTTATTTTTGTAGTTGCTACTTTTTGATGCAAGAATTGGCCTGGGTGAGGGTGTGACCTACAAGGTAAGGCTGCAGGAGCTGGGTGAGGGGATTAGGAAGCTGTTAAAAGATAAAGTTGTTCTGAAGCTGAGTTTCCCTCTGAGATCTCCCTATAGTTTTCAGAACTGTTTTTGAAGCTGCTTACTGACTGTTGCTTTGCATGTTGTGCTGAGAGGACTGCATATGCTTTGTGCTGTTATCAAGGAGTGCATAAAGAATGCCAGTTGATCTTATCCTGGTGGAGAATCCAGGGCAGCTTTCCAGCAGAGAAGCTGCTAAAGAGATTTACTCCATGTAGGATCTACTGTGTGAGAGTGTCATTTAATGGTCCTAAGATCTTTAAACTTAATGGACATGAGTATTTAAAGTGACTATGTTAGAGAAACCAGCAAGTAGTAAGTATCCTCCTGGCTGAACGTGGAGTAGAAAACCACACTGACTCAGTGGGGCTGGGGCAAGAAGGGTCATAGATGGATTGTCTGCTGGCAACAGGGAATGTGTGGCTTGCTTTTGGTACTCATGGAAATAAAGGTTTTATTGAATTACACAAGATTTTATGAGGCTGATGGCCTCTCTGTTACAATGGCAAGATTAACTGGAACCTAGAGAAACTACCTTTTTTGTTTCTTTATGTAGATATGGAAAGTTTATAAAATAGTTATGTGAGTTTATATTGAGTTTGTTAATCTTGAAGTCTGCTATGAGGCTTTGGGTATTTCAACAGAGGACTGTGCCCAGGAGACAAGGTCTGAAACAGTTATTATATGGACAGTTGTGAAGCCAAAGGAGAAGGGTAAAGACATCATAGTTTTCAAACAAAATTGCTCTGGGATTTCTCCTATCATTAGATTAGATAAATGATTAATTTAGTGTTGAAATTAAGAACCTCTCCAACAGGGATTTAAGAGTTTTCAGGAGTAAGAGATTGATTATTGCTGAAAGCTTATCCATAGCCTTACCTCAACATAGTCCTTTTGTGCCCTGCAATGATGATACTTTCCACAAAATTATTTGACTTCATCCCAGTCCTATTCTTCCCTTGGTGCTTGGTTTGTGCTAGTTGTTCCTTCTTCTGTCTGCACTGAATCTGTTTCATAATCTTCAAATGAAGAGATGGGTTATTAGTCAAAGCTTTTTTGTTTCTCACTTTTATAAAGTT